CTTGAGAAAGAAAGCCTTAGTTATGTGTCACACATTAAGAAAATGTAATTTCTAGAAAAAAAAATAGAATGTATTATATGGTTTATTACTTTTGAGTATCTCATTGGAACCCTCAGATTTCCATATATCCCCTAAGAAATCTTTCAGTGAGATTTGTCTAAATAAAGAACTGTACCCCCTAGGTGGATAAAACATCAATGACATAGAGTATAAACACAACATGTAAGTAGGGATACAGTGTTTTAACTGAGATATGGTGTTTTCATGTAGCAGCTGAAACCACTCTTCCTGGCTGTCATTTGTTTTCTTTTTGTACCCACATGATCATAGTGAACAGAATCATAGGAAATAGCTTGATTTTTACAGTCTGTTACGTTGTTTAAAATAAATCACTTGAGGGTGAACTTTCAAGATTAGGGTGCCAGTATAAGTATATAAGTCTACTCATATAAACGCCTCCTTTCCACATAATAAATATGGTCTTCTAGTATTATGGCTTGGAGAATGACTAGAAAATGAATCCTATAAATGCCTACTGATTGGTCTGATGTGACAGTGACATTCCATCTTATCATATGATCAGTTACTGTTTTGAGTATTTTCAAACCATCTCTGGGTCACCAGGGTCTAACTCAACTATTTGCACACAGTTGATACTTAAATATATTTCTTGAATTGAACCCTTAAATAAATAGTAGACAGCATTTTGTGCCTGGATTACTGTCCCTCGCCCTTGTTACTTCAACTTTCTTACTCTTTTACCTGTCCCAGCCCCTACTCTCCACATCTTTTACCTTAACTTGGGATTTCTCTGCGCCCCCTTTTTTGTTAAAAAGACTACTTGAAGGAAACTTTTATTTGGCTTTCTGCATTTCCCCACGAACCCCACCATACTCAGAATTATAAGATCATGGATTTGGACCTGGAAAAGATATGAGAGGCCATTAAGCCTGTTTAATTAGTAAGGGAGAAAACAAGGTCTTTCTTGAAAATAAAAATACATTTGAGTGGGGAAGAAATATAACACTCTATATGTGAGTCTTAGGTACACAATTATAACCTAAAATGTTCTATGTGGGAAAAAACCTAAAGAACACAAGACACAAAGAAACCCTTGGTGAATCAGGGCAAAGGACATGCTGCTATCCCAATTGTTGAAATAGCTGGATTGTTACTGATTTTTCACTTTACTCATTATTAATAACCATGGACATGTAAAGTTTATTGCAAGTCCCAAAATATATTAGAAAAATTTTTGAGAAAAGCAACATTGTTTCCACCACTCCTATCTCGTCCTATTCAACACATTTCTCCTTTGCTATTTGGTACCTGGATTCCTCATTCGATCAAAATACGATGGCTTATTTATTTATAAAACAGAGTACCCACGCAATGCACACACTACCTCCTTCCCCCGCCTTCTCCTACCGAAACCTCCCTACCACCACCAAACAAGTACACTTTTGGTAGCACTGGCCTGCTCCTGGAATTGGCTGTTATATTGAAGAAAATTTTCATTATGATTTGGGAAGGCTAGCCTCCTATGTATGGAGGATTAATTTCCTTTTGAAGGAGAAACTCTTGAGGTCCTCCACTCTGGGATAAGTACAACTCCCTAGAACAAGAGGACAAACAAAGCTTGCAACTCAGCCTGACGAGACTTGGGGCTTGACCGGACTTGGTGCTCTGTCCATGGTGCTGAACTCAAGCGTCAACTGAGATTGAGCAGTAAATGGAGAAGGCCAGGAATAAAGAGAGAAGAGAGTGAGACTAAAGGAAGGTGAAGGATTTCAGCTCTCAGAAACTAGAATGAAATAAAGTCAGCAATAAACAGTGAAATAGACATCCTGTTACTTTCTTCTAAACTTAGCAAAGTTGTGGTAATTCTTTCCTTTTCTTCAAAGTCCCTTTTCTTTGCCCCCAGCTCAGACTGACTCATGAATGTCAAATGTTTCCCATATTTTTTTTTAATTTGGAGGGTTCACCCCTTCCCTTTTTTTGTTAAGAATAACCATCTTCCCCCTTTATCCTCCCACTCTCTATCCCTAATGGGGTTTGTCACATCAGTAAAGCATACTCAAGAGCCACTCCAGCATTTATTGACAGTCTGAATTACTAAAATGATTTTGAGTAGGGGAATCTGGCATTCCTCCATTTAGTCACTGACATTAAAAACACCTTGAGGGAGTTTCACTTTGCAGGAGAGCATGGGTTAGATAAAGCATAGTCATCAGGGGTGGGAAGGCTGGGGAGTATAAGGAGGAAAACCCATTGGTCTCCTCTTATTTGACTTGCAAAATATGCTTGTTATTTTGTACAGTTACAGTTTTTCTATCAATAATATTAACTCCAATTCAGAGACTTCTTAAATAAAGTGTTTAAAAAACCCAATCACTCTATAATTTGAGAGAGCCTGAAAATTATTAAATTGAGGCTCATTTCACTGTTGAGTCAAAGAGTGGGGTTAGAGAAAGAACTTCTTTGTCTCTATGCTGCCTTGGAGAGACCTCTGCCAGCTCCAGCGACTCCACTCATCACAGCAGGTGGCATAACAGAATCACCTTTTAAATATCTCCTTCCCACCTCGTTTCCTCCTTTCTCCAGCCACCACCCCACCCTACCCCAGACCAGCTAGTTTCGTTAAGTGTGATGGGAAGTGCTGTAAAGGAGGGAAAGATGAAGGAAGGGAGGAAAGTCCTTCCAACTCAGCCTCATCCCCTTCCAGCTGGGCACCAGTCTACTCCTTAAGAGCTGTCAAATGGTAGGGAGCTGCCAGAGGGTCCTCTTCTACATCTAAGGCACCCTGAGCTTTAGCTCTAGCCACACCCGGTCCCCTGGTATTGCTCTGAAGTAATCTGAGCAGTCACCTCCCAAACCTCTCCAGTTGGCTTCCTCTCTAAGTGCTGGAGAGGGGAGGGGCAGAAAGGAAAGATGATTAGGAAACGCTCATCCAATATCTTCCATTTACAAAGCAACTCCTAGATAGCTTGGTGGGGATCTGGAGGAGACAAGTGAAGGAAAATGATTGTATTTGGAGCCAAATGTCCCACATTATCCTGACAGAAAAAGAGGCACTAGAATACACTAAGCAGTAGAATTCTGTTTTAAAGAGCCAGTAATAAATTCAACTTGTTCATTCGCTGCTACAAAACCTCAGTCCTACCTGAACCTAAAATATCCATCACACTAGAAAAAATAAGTATCAAAATTGTCATGTTAGTTTTCCAAGCACTTCCACAAAAAACTAATGATTTGAACATCAACTTAACATTTAAAAGCAATTTAATTTCAATAGCATATTTTAATGGAAAAAAAACAGCATATTTTTCCAATAAAACATTAAAATCTTTTCCTCAATGAAATACAATTCAACAACATTGAAAATAACTTAATACATGACTATATTAAATAAACCTCCTATTAACAAAAACAATAAAACCGGCTCATATACAGAACTTAAGACTTCAGAAAGTCTCCATTTTAACAGCAGTACAGCAAAATCTGTAAGAATATATCTATGTGTGCGTCATTTTGAATGAAATATTTACAATACCTAAGGTACTAGAAGTTGTGTACCTTATTTTGTTGTTGTTGTTTCAAAATAATTGTACCAAATGTGAATTTACAAGCAGTGCACTGTCCCTCTAATAATTAAAATTTGGCTTTTCTACAAACAAACCTCCAAAGGGGCTGGGGGGAGTAGTCTCGATAATGCAAAAATAAATAAATAAATAGATAGATAAACAAAATATAAGAGAACTGGGAGGTCAAAACATTGTGAAATAGTCTTGAAATCTAGAAGGACAAACACCAGGAGGCAAACCAAGCCAACCACAAATTCTTTTCAGCTTTAGAG